CCTCCTCCTCCTCCTCCTCCTCCTCCTCCGATGACTTAAGGTGGCGACAGAACTCCAGCAGTGACCCAGGCTGTTTTCAGTGCACTTATCCCTTTTTATCCCTGTTTATTCCTTATTTATCCCTTTACATAAGGGCTGCCCCACACCCCAGTGACATCACGCAACACGTGGCAGCTGTCACTCTCAGTTCCCTTCCTTAGATAGAAAAAATTCCCAATTCCAAAACATGTTGACTTTAAACAGCTTTTTACCAGTAAAAATAGGGAACTGCAAAGAATTTCAATTCAGGACAAGCACGCTTTAGCAGTAGCCACAGTAAAGTTGCACAACCAAGGAAAGGAATGTTATTTTATAGAGAAAAAGGACGAAGTTGGGAAGGGTTGCTTTGAGAGCAAGTCCATTGGAGAAAAACGAGAGTTCAGGGAAATGACAGTCTTTTGTTGGCTGGCTGAGTAACTGGGGTTGAGGGAACGTACTTTCCTTTCTGCTGAGGGCCTGTAATTTACAATACCACCCCTAACTGACATGGAGCAGTACTGCGTGAGAGTGCCCCCTGCTGGCCCCCCACTCCATTTTAGTGAGGTTTCCCCCTTATTTTCACACAACCTTACTTCACACAACCTTACAGAGGGATTCCAGATGAGCAATTAAGAAACAGCCTGGCCCTAGCCGGTTTGGCTCAGTGGTTAGAGCATCGGCCTGCCGACTGAAGAGTCTGGGGTTTGATTCTGTGCCAAGGGCACATACCTCAGTTGCAGGCTCCATCCCTGCTCCTCCTCCCTGTGCGTGTGGGAGGCAACCAACCAACCAATCAATATTTCTCTCACATCGATGTTTCTCTCTCTCTCTCCCTTTCACTCTCTCTGAAAAGCAGTGGGAAAAAATAGTTTAAAAATGTCCTCCGGTAAGGATTTAAAAAAAGAAACAGCCCTGCCCTGGCAGTTCAGATGGCTGGAGCTAGTCCAGTACACCAAATGTTAAGGGTTTGATTCTGGGTCACAGCACATACAGAGGTTGTCAGGGCTCATACAGGAGGCAACCTACGTGGGGTGAGGATTGAAAAGAGAAATGGAGGGGGAGGGGAGGGGAGGAGAAAAACAGCCCTATCCCTATTTCACAGAAAGGGAAACTGAGGAGGGCCAAACCAGGCTCTGACCTCTGGCTGGGTAGCCTTGGGTGAGTCACCTCTCCCCTCTATCTTGCTTACCCTCTGGGTAGTAACACTGACTCCTGAAGTGCTGTAAATGAAACGTTAATTGCCTACCCACTGCACAAAGGCTGACAGTCAAGGAGGTTCTTATTTGGAGAATGAAGGGGCCAGGCACACACTAAGTGTGGGGGCACAACCTGATGGACATCTCCCTCCCTGGGGCGACCACAGGGGCCTGCAGGCCACAGCAAAAGTTCTTCAAACTTTCTGGAAGGAGAAAAATGAAACATAAATTGAAATAAAATACTGAAAGATCATAGCATGGGTATTTCACTATAAGTAGAATATAAGCACTGTGTAAGAGTGAGCAATTTCTCTGCCATAGTCAAGTGCCCACCACAGTAGAGGTATGACTTTCCTGGGTCTGCCATAACAAAGTACAGTAAACCCTTGATTTTTAAGGCCTCTATTTAATGGACTTCTGATTTAATGGACAAAATTTCCAGGCCATATGTCATATGTGAAAATTAACACCCTGTTAATTTTAAAATGCTTTTAATCAAGATTTGCTTATAACTAAATTAAGAGGGGTTTTTAAATTATTATTTCACTGGGGTGTGTGTGTGTGTGTGTGTGTGTGTGTTTGTTTGTTAATCCTCACACAAGGATATTTTCTCCATTGATTTTAGAGAGGTGGAAGGGAGGAAGGGAGGGGGAGACAGGGGCAGGGATCAAACTTGCAACCCAGGTAACTGCCCTTGACTGAGAATCAAACCCGAGACCCTTTGGTGCACAGGTCAATGCTCTAACTACTGAGCCACACCAGCCAGGGCTAGGCTCTGTTTGTTTTTTATTTGAGCCCAGGTAGCCACCAGGAGCCCTTCTTAGTAGATGTTTTTTCTCAGAGTTCACAGACACATCTGGAAGGGACCCATTCAGGAAGCCTTGACGTGAGTTAAACTCTTGGCAATGAGGATTTTGTGGGTTTTTTTTTATTGTTTAAAGCCAATAATAAGTTTCTTTCAATCTCCCACATTTTCCTAGGCCCTGAAAAATCCTCTAGAACAGGTAGAACACCTGTTAGCTACTGCTACATAACAAACTGCCCCAAACTCAGTGGCTTCATGCTGTTACCAGAAAGGGACCAGGACTGTACGACTCGAGTTCAGGTGATTTTGAGATTACATTTACTAAAGCTGGGGACAGTGAAGCAAAGTAAGGGCTTAAGATAGAAGAAGCAAGATCACAGCAACAGGAGTCAGCCTAAACTGAGCTGCCTAGACTCAGGAAAGGAAGCCACAGTAACAAAAGTGAGCCACACTGAGCTGCATGGGCTCAGAAAACAAGTTACAGAGGCAAAAGGAGGGCCCTTGGAGACAAGTTCAGGGAGTTAGCCTGGGATGAGTTGCTGCTGCCCACTGCTTCCCTGGTTGCAAGTCTCATGGAAATCCTTAGGGATTAGGAATAAAAAAGCAAAGATACACACCTGAGGAAGAAAGGGAGGGCATAGGTGAGCTCAGGGAGAGTGTGCACTGGCATCCTTTGTCTCAAGGGTTTTTATCTGTTTTCTTTTTTTAAATATGTCTACTGATTTCAGAGAGAGGAAGGGAGAGGGAGAGGGAGAGGGAGAGAGGGAGAGAGGGGGAGAGAGAGAGAGAGAGAGAGAGAGAG